CGCCCCCAGGGAGCGCCCCAGCGGGGCCCCGGCTGCCACCGCGCCCATCGTCCTGGCAGGGCCAGGCCTCCTGGCTCCAGCCGCTGCCAGTCCCCAGCCAGCGCGGCTCGGCCGTTTGCACAGGGGCGATCGCACAGAGCACCGCCGGGCCACCTGCTCTGCAGCCCCGTGCAAGCCGTACTTACAGCCCGCTGGCCTGGCCCCTGCTGCAACCCCCGGGACCCCAGAGACGGCCAGGCAACTGGGACAATCCCCCGTTGTGCTTCCCTGCTGCTCGGGCTAGCATTGGTTCCTCGCGGGGTGGGGTGAAAAGCCGCCCCCTTTCACCACAGGGGGGTTCCCAGGGCAACACTAGATCTAAGACAGCCAAGTCCAATTGACCCAGCCCACAGGGCTCCTGCACAGAGGAGATGTTTTACAGTCTGGGACTTACTCCTCTGGGCATCCTAGTGATTTGCAATAAGATCCTGAGGCTTTAACGGCTGCTTTGCAGAATGATAGGGCCAGATCCTGACATCAGCTGGGATTCCTGGGAACATTAATTTTGGGAAGAAGGGGCCTCTGTTACATTCCTCCTTTCCTAGCTGCATCTGTCCCAGCACATTCTAGAGCAGTGGTATACAGTATAATATACAGACAGCCCACACAACACACCCAATCTTAGCTGGTCCAAGAAGAAGGAGCCCCCCCTCACATAAACCCTCCCCCTTAAGGCTAGCCTGGTCTGTGCTTTTACAGAAAGGAGATTCTAGGATTGCAAATAAAGCAAGACTTTAATATTGGAGAAAAGCGGGGGCAGTTAGAAATGCAGCCTGGAGACTGAGTCTGTGAATAGTGACCAATCATTTATAAATCCAGGTGCTGTCTGACACAGCCTAGTGAGTGGTGAGAGACTAGCACCTATATTTAGTGAGGACTAGGAGAGGACAAGTTCAAGTTCACTTATTATATTCCAGTCCTTCCCATCATCCACTCCTGCCCCTCCATAGCTTAGAGCCTGAGATTCAATCCCTAAACATGGAATGAAGATTAAGCACATCCAACTGCTCATGAAGTGCAACAGTCAGTTTTTAAATAAGCTTGGCAATTCATTCATTTCAGAGGTTATACACCAGACCAATTCCAAAGTGAGAAAGCCATCCAGTGGAATACAAAGCCATCTAGAGGTTGATACAAATATTACAAACTGTGGTCACAATCTACAGGGATTGTCCTGTGGGTTGGAAAGAAAAACTTCCCATTATGCAGATCAGCCTAGAGAAATATAATTGTCCCTTTGGGCTTTAAAAATCTATGAAACCTTAACACTTCTAACCCTCTGCCTAAAATAATGAGCACTGATTTAAAGCTAACCTGCTTATGACTTAGGGCTTTTCTACACACAAAGTTGAACTAGTTTAACTAAAATAGGTTTAAAAACTTGTTGGTTTGGTTACACTAGTTCAAAAACCCTGTGTGGATACATTTTAAACTTGGCTTATATCAACTTAATTGAAGTCAGTTCCTTACCAAATGGAGTTAAATCAATATAAGCAATTTTTAAACTAATTGAAGTATCTGCCTCAACTCAACTACATCTGAAGAAGTGAGGTTCTTACCCACAAAAGCTTATGCTCCCAATATTTCTGTTAGTCTTAAAGGTGCCACAGGACCCTCTGTTGCTTTTTACAGATTCAGACTAACACAGCTACCCCTCTGATACTTGACATCAATTTTAAAAACACCCTTAATTAAACTGGTGCAACTGTGTGTCTAGACAAGACCTTAGATTGAGAAACATCTGCATGAGAAGGAAGAAACTCACTAAAAATAACATTCCCAGAACACAGAGTTTTCAGATTCTAAAGGAAAAGAAAGTTTGCAAATGCAAATTCGGGGGTGGGGTGGGGGGGGAATAAAATGGTTAACTGACCATCAATACATGGTTCCATGGTACTCTGGCAGATCTGATAGGTCACCAGCTCAGGCATCACAGCAGAATCCAGGCTGCTGCAGAGGGGTTGCATTTCACAGGAGCTTAAAGAGAAGAATGACTGCTTTCCAGCAACCTGCTGACTGTGCACCTATTAACCAGGTTAAGAGATGGGCCAATATGCTAAATATTATAGGACAATACACTCTGGTTTATCTGGCCTGGGGGACATCCAAAACTGTCAGCTAACCAGGTGTTCCAGATAAACAGAAGAACAGGAGTACTTGTGGCACCTTAGAGACTAACAAATTTATTAGAGCATAAGCTATGCACTATGTGCATCCGCAGAAGAGGGCTGGAGTTCACCACACGCGA